TAGGGCTTCAACACAGGAACTTCGGGGAAACACAAACATTCAGTCCTTAGTAGCTTTTCTGTCCAGTCTGTACACCATTTTCTTGTATTACAAAACAGAAACAAGTCATGTCTAGGGTATTTGAGGCAGAACAATGGAGTGGAATAAAGTAGGACTTTGACATCAGCCCTTAAGCCCTTAAGAGAACTTAACTTCCTTAAGTTCTCTCTCTCTGGTCTGTGACTTGAAATAGTTGTTTGTATCCCCAACTTCTAGGCTAGGATGTTGTGAATAAATATATGCAGAACACCCTAGCAGATGCCTGATATATAGTTTGTGTCCAAAAATTGGTTGCTATTATAACAATGTATGTAAATTTATGGACTAGTTTTTTTGTTTGTTTGTTTTTTTATCCTCACCCGAGGATATTTTTCCATTTTTTGTACAGATAGAGTGGGAGGGAGAGAGAGGAAGGGAGAAAGAGAGAGAAACATCGACGTGAAGGGACACATTGAGTGGCACGACCAACCAGGGCCGGGGACAAACTGCAACCGAAGTACGTGCCCTTAGCGGGAACCGAACCCAGGTCTCTCCGGACCGCAGGCCGACGCTCTAACCTCTGAGCCAAACTGGCCAGGGCTATGGACTAGCTTTAAAACAACATTTAGTATGCTTCAAAGTTAAACTCTAGGCCTAAAAATCATTTGGGACACTACTGGCCAAGATATATGCTCCTATAGTCTCCTGTGCGTTACCATCTTCTTCTTTATAGCCATGGTAGTCTGTATCTCTTAATATTTTAAATAACTTAACACTGTGCAGAGTTGCCATAATAACTCTGTGGGCATTCTGAGAGCTACCAATTTGTCTGTTGTCCATGTTAATCATTTAACCTCATTAAAATACATAAATGGTGATACCTAGCACATGATTTTTCTTTCCTCCATATTATTTTCCCCAAATGCAAGTAAAAGTAACACTAGAAGATAGTTTTGACTAGAACTGTATGTTTGTATGTTAAAAATAACTTAGCAATATGTTAGCATAGAGAATTTTGCTAAAGATGTATACAGTTTCTTTTCTTAACCTATAACAAATGATTCAAAAGCAAATCGCCTATTTGGCTGCCTCCTTGGCATACAGAACTGGCAAAGTTACTGATGCTCTTAGTCTATCCTTTTGTTCATATTGGAGAATAACTTATTTTAGAAATATAATAGTAAAATGACCTTGTTAAATGTTACTAATGTTTTATTATTATTATAAATGCCACTGTTGATATTTTCTATATATTTCTAGGAAGAGTTAAAGATAGAGAAAGAAGGTCATAGCCTATGGGGAGTCACCATTTGCTTGATTGTACTAGGATTTCAAGAGAGTGGTGGGCAGAATTTTCAAGATCTGTTTTCTAGATCTGTGCTCTATGGTTATTTAAACCTTTATTGAGGTACAAGAGCAATACCTAAAGGAATGTTCGAATAACGAGTGAGCGGGGATCTTGGAGAGCATAGTGGTACAGCCACTATGGTAAACAATATGGAGGTTTCCTCAAAAAATTAAGAGTAGAATTACCACATGACCCTGCAATTCCTCGTTTGAGTATCTACCTGAAAAATGTGAAAACAAGCATTCATAACAATATACGTATCCCTATGTTCACTGCAGCAGATGTGGAAACAACTTAAGTGTCCCTCAGTAGATCACTGGATAAAGAAGATGTGTACACAAACAATGGAGTACTACTCAGCCCTAGGAAGGAATGAAATACCGCCATTGGCAACAGCATGGATGGACCTTGAAAACACCATGCTAAGTGAAACAAGTCAGATGGAAAAAGTCAAGAACCATATGACTTCTCTCATGTGTCATATATAAAACTGGAAGCAACAGACAAATGATAAGCAAACAAAAACTTAGAGGCAACAATATGGTGGTTAGCTGAGGGAAAGTGGGGATAGGGGAGGTAGAAAATGGTAAAGTGGATCAAAAATATGATGATGGAAAGAAATTTGACTTTGGGTGGTAAACACACAATGCAATATACAGGTGATGTATTATAGACTGTATACTTGAAACCTATATAATTTATTAACCAACGTCATCCCAAAACATTTAATGAAGTTTTTTAAAAATTGCAGGTATACTTAAAGTCTAAAACCAGTTGACTTTAAAATATGGAGACTGTCCAGGTGGACATGACTCTATCAAATGGGCAGTGGAATAGTAGAGAGGTTTCTCTGGGTAGCACAAGAGGACATTAGAAGCACAGGTGAGATTCAACACGCTACACTGCTGACTTTGAAGATGGAAAGCCATGTGATGAGTGTGTGCCTCCTCTAGAAGATAAGAGGTACCCTCGGCTAGCAGCCTATGACTGCAAGAAACAAAGTCTTCCAACAAACTGAACGAGCTAGTGGAGGTGGGTCATTTTTCATATCTGCCATGAAGAGCCCAGATGACACTTTGATTTTCTAAGCAGAGAACCCAGGGGATGAGTCATGACGGATTTCTGACCCACACACACTGTGAGAAAATAAATGGATGTTGTTTAAGCTGCTAATTTTATGGGCATTTTTTTTTAGACAGATATAAAAAATGAATATAAAGACACAATGTTAGAATTAAAGACTGATTTTAGTCTGATTCACAATAATGTAGTTATGAGGGAGTTTATCTAAAAAATTAGAGCAAAAACTCTTTCAATTTCTAAATGTCACCAGATTGCAGAGCTTGATGACTTGATGGTTATTCTAAGATTTTTTTTTAACTTTTGGGGTATATAAATTATGATTAAATGCATGATTAGTTTTTCTCCATATTTCCCAAGCTAATTAACACATACTTTTTGTTATTTAATATATATTTGTGTTCATACTTTTAAATTGAAACAAGGAAATTCTAATGCAACTAAAGTAGAGACACATCAGAACAATTCTCTTTAATTGCTACATTACAGAACTTATATAGATTTAGTTATTTTGTCTACAAATAATGGCATATGCTGAATGATAAGGAGCAATGAAAAAAATTTAGATAACTTAGATGCAGAAATATATTTGCCTAATAGAGATAGTTGAAAATAAAATTATTGTGCCCTTCTAAATGTTGACGATGTATTGCCAATTAATTGTCTGATTTTTACTTTATTAATTCAGAAAGAGATTATATAATAATAAAAATTGTTTATTCATTCATTTTTTTTTTTTTTTTTATCCTCACCCAAGGACATTTTTCCATTTTTTGTTCAGATAGAGTGGGAGGGAGAGAGAGAAACATCGACGTGAAAGGGACACATCAAGTGGCTGCCACCCACACAACCAACCAGGGCCGGGGACAAACTGCAACTGAGGTACATGCCCTTAGTGGGAACTGAACCCAGGTCTCTCTGGACCACAGGCCGACGCTCTAACCACCAAGCCAAACAGGCCAGGGCATACAATGATAAAAATTGTTTAGCTTGAACCATTTTAGCAAGGTTGTAGATGATGGTGCACCCTCCCACACTGTTGCTAAAAATGTAACTGGACATAACATTCTTAAGGGCAATTTAGTGACACTTATTAAATGTAAAATAATATACTCTTTGAAACAGAATTTCACTTCTATGGATTTATTTGTAGAGAGACTCTCACATGCACACAAAGATATTTATATTCACACAAGAAAATTCTTTGCAATTTTAGTGTAAATACAAGGAAATAAAATGCATATCTGTGTAACAGGCTGGTAAGTAACTTTCAGAATTGGTAGCGCTGCATGTGATGATAAGGAAAAAAAATCACTGAGAAATATTGAGTGAAACAAGCAAGGTTAAGAATAGTGATTATCTTTCATACTTAAAAATCCACGTTTAACCTTGGCCAGTTTTCTCAGTGGTTACAGAGTCAGCTGATGGACCAAAGAATCACAAATTTGATTCTGATCCAGGGCATGTACCTCGGTTGCAGTTCGGTCCCAGCCCTGGTTGGTGTTGTGCAGAAGCCAGCCAGTAGATCTCTCTCTCTCTCTCTCTCTCTCTCTCTCTCTCTCTCTCTCTCTCTCCCCCCCCCCACTCTATCTGAAGATAAATGAAAAAGTATCCTCCAGTGAGGATTTAAAAAAAAATCCAGTGTACGTAGATAGATACATAATGGTGATATGTATATACATGTAGTATATGAATATGTATATTTGTGTAAAAAGGGGGACATTATTGATATGCAAGTACTTGTTCCTCATGGAAAACTTCATAAACGTGTGCAGGAAACCACTGACCAGTTGTTATTTCTAGGAAGTGGAACTTGGGGTTTGCCACTGGAAGTAAACACGCCTTTCATGGTATGTTCTTTGTTTTCTTTCACTTTTTCACTATATGCCTGTGCTACGGTCATGCACTACAGAAAGATCACCTTTCCTTGGAGGGAGTTCCTCACTTCTTCCCCAGGGTGGTTGTCATACCATCATCTCTAGTCTCCATTTTTATATTTCATCTTTTCCCAGGAACAGAAATACAGCAAGTAACTAGTCGTTTAGCAAAGTCAGTCAGTTACTTACTCACTAGCAAGTAACTAGTCCGTCTAAAACAAGTTGACAGGTCTGTAAGATGATAAAGTATTATTATTCAAAAACTGAAGCTCTGTATTATCATTGTGATTATTTGCATGTTGTAATTATAGTGAATATTTTTGCACAAGACCATTATAATTTTTAAATACTTTTATTATTTTCTTCTATAAATTTTGAAATAGAAACATAAGCTAGTGAAAAAAAAGTAGAAAAGTTTACTTAATAACATCTAAATCTTGGTAATAAACCTAAAGTGTTCATTTAAAACAATTTTTAAATACATGTTTTTATTGATTTTAGAGAGAGAGAGAGAGAAACATCAATGTGAAACAGAAACATTGATCGATTGCCTCCTGTACACACCCAGACTGGGAGCGGAACCTGCAACCTGGGTATGTGATGTGCCCTGACCAGGAATCGAACTGGCAACCTTTTGGTACATGGAATGATGCTCAACCAACTGAGCCACACTGGCCTGGGCTGTTCATTTTTAATTTTTATTTCTTATATGCTTAATTTGAAATTACACAAGGTATGAATGCCTAAAACTTGCAAATTACACATGATGTATAGGAATGACTATATAATATTTTTTATCATTTCTGTTGCCCTTTCTGTATATCTTTTGGGTTATTCCTGACTCGTGGTGTTTGCTAAGATTACCTAACTGCCATCGTATCTTAAAACCTTGAGTTGTACTTTAATGATATCACCTGTCAGGACACAATGTGAACGTATTGTTATGCTGAGTTTTGTTTGTGACGAGAGAGCAGTACCCATTGTTTGGTTAAAGGAGGCATCATGATGCTAACCATTGCCTGATTTAGACAAGACTCCCAATAGGCAAACGAGGTAGGCATATATATGCTTGAGGAGTTTTGCTGAGATTGATGGGGTTTCCATCCAACCGGATATCTTCTAGAGCCTTACGGATATAAGTCACATTTTTCACGTTGCAGAAGGTATCTTCGTGCATCTCCAGAATGTTGTTATTCTAAAAGAGATGAAAGTGAACAATAAAACAAGATACAATATATTCTTAGTACTGACTAATAACAGAACAGTTTGCTTCACCCTGTTTTTATGTCTTTGTTTATTGTTTCACCCAAAAATCCATGTTATGTGATTATTATACATCAAGCACTTTGTAGGCAACGGGGATAAATCAATGAACAAAATAGACATGTACTTGTCCCTATGGAACTTATACTTCAGTAAGGGGACTATAAGATAAGGAAGTGAAAAAACAAATGTACAGAAAAAATTATTTTCAAAAAGACTAGAACTATGGGGGAAAAAAGAATGGTGATGGAAAAGTTATCTTAAGGGATAGCAGTGGAGCTCCGAATGGAACGACAAGAAGACATGGGCACGAAAGCGCCGAGGTGAGAATGACCCAGGCGCAGAGAACACCAATTACAATTGATTTTTTTTTTTTTTTTTAGAGAGGGGAAAGGAGAGGGAGAGAGAGATGGAAACATCAATGAGAGAGAACATCGATTGGCCACATCCTGCATGCCCCCCACTGGGGACTGGACCCACAACCTGGACATGCACCCTGACCAGAAATCAAACTGGCGACCTCTTGGTGCCTGGGTCGACGCTCAACCACCAAGCCACACCGGCCAGGCAAGAACACCAATTTCAAATTCTGAGTAATTAGCATAGAATGCTCAAGAGTGAGAAAAGGTCAACATGACTGAACTGAAGTGTAGGAGAGAGTGAGCAAATATCAGGAAGATAGGAGGCCCAGAACTCGGGTGGCTCAGTTGGTTGAAGTGCCGTCCCGTGCACCAAAGGTTGTGGGTTCGGTTCCTAGTCAGGTTACAAGATTAGATTTCGAGTTCAATCTCAGTTTGGAAGGCTATGAGAGGCCAACCAATTGATGTTTCTCACATTGATATTTCTCTGTATGTGTGTGTCTCTCTCTCCCTCTCTTTTTAAAATCAGTAAAAAAAACAAACATATCCTCAGGTAACAATAAAAAATATCTTTGTTGTCCGGCTGGTGTGGCTCAGTGGCTGAGCATTGACCCATGCACCAAGAGATCTCTGGTTCCATTCCTGGTCAGGGCACATGCCCAGGTGGTGGCCCCATCCCCAGTGGGGGACATGCAGGAGGCAGCCAAATGATGTTCTCTCTCATCAATGTTTCTCTCTCTCTCTCCCTCTCACTTCCTCTCTAAAATCAATAAAGGAAACAAATATTTAAAAATAGTTTTGTTGAATATATTTCACAAACCATAAAATTCACCCATTTTAGGTGTACAGTCTAGTGATTTTTAATATATTTACAGACTTGTATAAGCACCTCCACAATTTAACTTCAGAACAGTTTAAATATCACCCAAAGAAACCTCATCGATATTAACAATAACTGCCCCCATTCTCCTACCTCTAGCACTGACAGTTTCTAAACTACTTTCTGTTTCTATGAAGTTTTCTAATTCGGACATTTTGCATAAATGAAATCATGTACCACCTTTGTAACTGGGTTCTTTCATTATCAATTGTATTTTCAAGGTTCATACATGTTGTAACATGAATGAGTGCTGTTTTGTGAATTGCTCAATTATTTCCCATTCATCAGTTAATGGGAATTTGAACTGTTTCCACTCTTTGGCTCTCATGAATAATGCTTCAATGAGTATTTGTACACAAATTTTGTGGGGACATACATTCTCAGTTTTCTTGGCTATATACCTAAGAGGTGAATTGCTGGGTCATATAGTAAGTCTGTGTTTAACATTCTGAAGTTCTGTCAAACTGTTTTTCATAGCTGCACTATTTTACACTTCTACCAACAATGTATGAGAGTTCCATTTTTTTCTGTATCCTAAACAACACTTGTGATGTCTCTCTTATTTTAGACAATGAGCGGAGGTGATGTGGTATCTCATTGTGGTTTAGTTCATTCCTACTGTACAGAGGTTGGCAAAAGTAGGTTTATTGTTGTATGTAAAACACAGAGTTTATTCTTGTATTATCATTTATTAACTATCATATCATTTATTTGTTTTGTTTATTTGTTTGTTTGTTTTTATTCTCACCCGAGGACACTTTTTCATTTTTTGTTCAGACAGAGCAGGAGGGAGAGAGAGAGAGAGAAACATCGATGTGAAAGGGACACATCGAGTGGCTGCCACCCGCACAACCCAACCAGGGCCGGGGACAAACTGCAACCGAAGTACGTGCACTTAGCGGGAACCGAACCCGGGTCTCTCCGGACCACAGGCTGACGCTCTAACCGCTGAGCCAAACCAGCCTGGGCTCGTATCATTTGTTTGTATTGCAACTGTAAACCTACTTTTGCCCAGCCCTGTACAGAAATACAATTGATATTTTATATTGACTTTGTAACCTGCTACATTGCTGAACTCATTTATTAGTTCAAGTAGTTTAGTGAATTCTTTATGACTTTCTATATAAAATATTTGTAGATCAATTTGGGGAGTATATTTATCTAAATATAGTCTTTTACCCATGAATATAGGAATAGCACCCCTTTATTTAGATCTTTTTCTCCCCAGCTATACTGAGGTACAATTGACAAATCAAATGATATATATTTAATGTTCGCAGCATAAAGTTTTTTTGCTTTGATTTTCAAAATATGTTTTTATTGATTTGAGAGAGAAAGAGGAAGGGGGAGAGAGAGACATTGATGTGACAGAGAGAGCTGCCTCCCATATGCCTAGTATGTGCCCTGACTGAGAATCAAACCAGAGACCTTTCGGTGCACGGGATGATGCTCAACCAACTGAGCCACACCGACCAGGGCAGTATAATATTTTAATATATATTGTAAAATCAAGCTAATTAACATTTTCTTCACCTCACATAATTCCCTTTTATATGAGTGCATGGTGAGAACACAAGGTCCACTCCTAACAAATTTCAAGTATACGATACAGTATTATTAACTATGGTAGCCATGCTGTGTTACATCCACAGAAATGATTCATCCTAAAGAATTGAAACTGTATACCCTCTATCAACATCTCACCATTTCCCCCATGCCCCAGCTCCCAGCAGCCACCCATGTACTCTCAGCTTCTATGAGTTCCACATATAAGTGAGGTCATACAACATTTGTCTTTGTGTCTGGCCTATTTCACTTAGCATACTGTTCTCCAGTCTTATCCATATCATTGCCACAGGCAGAATTTCCTTATTTTTAAGGCTTCTAAATTATATTTTTACTATATTCTATTGGGTACACATACCATAATTTATTTATTTATTCATCCACTGATGGACACGTGGGCTGTTTGTCTTGGCTGATGTACACAGAGCTTGATTGTGAACACGGGATTGCAGAGACTGATTTCTTTTCCCTTAGACATATACCCAGAATGGGACTGTTGGATCATCTGATAGTTCTGCTTCTAATTTTTTGAAGAACTTCCATGGTGTTTTCATAATGACTGCACCATTTACATTCCTGCCAACAGTGTACAAGGGTTCCCTTTTTTCCACATCCTCGCCAACACTTGTTTTTGGTCTTTTTGATATTCACCGTGCTAAAAAGTGTGAGGTGACATTTCATTGTAGTTTTGATTTGCATTTTCCTGATGACTACTGCTGTTGAGCACCTCTACATATACCAATTGGCTATGTCTTCTTTAAAGGAATGCCTATTCAGGCCCTTCGCCAATATTACAATTGGGTTATTTGTTTTTTTCCCACTGAGTGTTTGAGTTCTGTGTATATTTTAGATATTAGCCCCTTATCAAATGTATGGTTTGCACCTGGCTAATTTGGCTCAGTGGTTAGAGTGTTGGCCTGCAGGTTCAATTCCCAGTCAAGAGCACATACCTGGGTTGCAGATTTGATCCCGACCCAAGGCGGGGTTGTGTGGGAGGCAACCGATTGACAAGTCTTTCTCACATCAATGTTTCTTTCTCTCTCCCTCCCTTCCACTCTATCTAAAAATCAATGGAAAAATATCCTCAGGTGAGGATTACCAATAACAACAACAAAAATGTATGGTTTGCAAATATTTCCTCCCATTCTGTAAGTTATTTCTTCTCTCTGTTGTTTGTTCCTTTGCTATACAGAGTTTTTCAACAGCATGTTATAGCTTTTAGTATAAAAATCTGTATATTTTTTGTTAAAATTATTCCTACGTAATTTATTATTTCTGTGATTATTATAAACATAATTGTTTTCTTAATTTCACTTATTTTTTAGATCTTTTACTTTCTAGTGCATACATTTCTGATGAATATTTATCCATTAATTTTGTAACTTGCCACATTGCCAAAGTCATTTATTAGATTTCTTCTTTGACTTATTTCTTATTAAAAAAAACAATGTATAATATCAACATGTTTATGAATTTCCCAATTTTTCTTTGTGGTTGAATTCTATTTTTGTTTAATTATAATCAGAAAATTAATTTGTATGATTTCAATGTGCTGAGGCCTGTTTTGTTGCTTAACATAGGGTCTATCCTAGCACTATGAAACTGCTTCTGTTATGCTTGTTCACTTTATTTTGTTTTGTAGATTCCACAGAAAAGTGATATGCTATGGAATTTGTCTTTCTCTGCTGACTTACGTCACGCAGCACAACACTCTCTAAGTCCGTCCATGTTGTTGCAGATGGCAAGACTGCGTTCTTCTTTATGGCTGATTCATATTCCCTTTTATAAATGTACCACTTCTTTACTCATTCATGTACTGATGGATGCTTAGGTGCTTCCATGTCTTGGCTATTTTAAATATACCTGCAATAAAAAAATGGAAGTAATTTGTCTTTTTGGTTTAGTGTGGTTTGGGGGGGGGGGATAAATAGCCAGAAGCAGGATTGCTGCGTCCTTTTTTGTCTTTTGTTATAGCCTTTGTTTTAAAGTATATTTTGTCTAGTATAAGTACTGCTACCTCAGATTTTGTTTTCATTTCCATTGTCATGAAATAAACTTTTTTCCATCTCTTTACTTTCGGTCTATGTGTGTCTTTCAATCTGAAGTGAGTCTCTAATAGACAGCATATGTAAGGGTCTTGTCCATTCAGCCACCCTATGTCTTTTGATTGGAGCATTTAATCAATTTTCATTTAGAATAATTTTTGACAGATGTGTATTTATTTCCATTGTTTGATTTATATTTTTATCTTTTCTTTTTCTTCTTACCATTTTATATAGTACTGGTTTGGTGATGATGAGCTCCTTTAGTTTTTTCTTGTCTTGGAAGTTCTTTATCTGTCCTTCGATTCTGAATGATAGCTTTGCTGAGTAGAGCAATCTTGGTTTTAGGCCCTTGTTTTTCATCACTTTGAATATTTTGCACCATCCCTTTCTGGCCTACAAAGTTTCTGTTGAGAAATCATCTGATAGTCTTATGGGAGCTCCCTTACAGGTAACTAACTGCTATCTCTTGCTATTTTTAAGATTCTCTCTGACTTTAACCTTTGGGAATTTAATTATGTATGCTGTGTCTTGGTGTGGGTCTCTTAGGGTTTATCTTGTTTATCTTGTTCTTCCCAGGCTTGTATATCTATTTCCTTTGACAGCATAGGGAAGTTTTATGTCATTATTTCTTCAAATAGTTTTCAACTTATTGCTCTCTCTCTTCTCCTTCCAGTAACCCTGTGATGCAAATGTTGGTATGCTTGGAGTTGTTCCAGAGTTTCCTTAAGATATCTTCATTTTCTGGATTATTTTTTCTCTTTGCTGATTGGGTGTTTTCTGCTACCTTATTTCTAATCACTGATTTGATCCTTTCCTTGAACCAATCTACTATCGATTCCCTCTAATGTATGTTTCATTTCAGTTATTGTAGTCTTTATCCCTGACTGGCTCTTTTTAATGGCTTCTATCTTCATTTTTATGTTTCCTATCTCTTTGTTGAAGTACTCACTGAGATCACTGAGCATCCTTATAATACGTGTTTTGAACTCTGCATCTGGTAGATTGCTTATTTCCATTTTGCTTAGTTCTTTTTCTAAAGTTTTTTTCTCTTATTTTTTTAATTTGAAACATGTTTCTTTGTCTTCTCATTTTAGCTGCCTTCCTGTGTTTGTTTCTGTGTATTAGGTAGAGGTGCTATATTTCTTGGTCTGGGAGAATGGCCTTATGTAGTAGGTGTTCTGTAAGGTCCAGTGGCACAGTATCCTGGTCACCTAAGCTGGGAACTCCATCTGTGCCCTCCCACGCCATCCCCGGTGTGGACTGTGTGCTCCTTCCTTTTGTAGTTGAGCCTTGATTACTGTTGATGTATTAATAGGAGAAATTTATCCCAACGTCAATTGGCTGCAAAGACTGGCTAAAATCATTGTGGAGGATTTGTTGGGCATGAGACAACCCAATGGAACAGGATGCACTAAGGGGGACTCTTGTGCCTGCTGAGCCCACCCCTTGACTGTGTTGTTGTGGAAGTAGTTGGCTTATCCTTCAGCATGGTCTGAAGCTGTCCACCTGATGCACTGGCTCTGGGGCTTCCTGGGAGGTGCAGATCAAGGTCAGCTGTGTTCTGTACCCTGCCTGGGACCGCAAACATGAGCTACAAAGCAATCTGCAGATGGCTGATAGTTGCACTGGTCTTGGAGGTGCCTGGAAGAGGCAAAGCTGTGAACCAGGGCCAGCTGCTTCTAGTGCCAGGCCTGGAGACACTTAGCAAGAATTATAAGGCATACTGAGGACAAATGCTGTTTGTTTGAAAGATTTTAGGGAAGTCTGCAAAATGAGCCAACGCAGGCTGTTTGTATGGAAAGCCACTGGAAATGGCCTGGATGAGCCTCTAAGTTGGGTGGGATGGGATCTTGGTGAGTCACCAAGGTGAGGCAAACAGTGCTAGTAAGGTTTATGAAGACTCAGATGTGGCACCTGCCTGCTGGCACTGTAAGGGGAGGGCTCAACAAAGGAACAATGGCCTGTCGCTGGGAGAGAGCTGCCCTTCTAGCCCTCACTCTGATGCCAGACAATTCATTCCCTCTCTGTATGTCCCTGGCACCTTTCAAGCTGCTGCCCCAGTGTTGGAGCTCAGAGTGAGTGAGGAAGTCAGCAAGCCAGTTGGTGCATGGGCCTCTTAAGTGAAATGCCTGGGACTCTGAGAGCCCTCTGTCTCACTGAGCCACAATTCCCACTGGTTTTCACAGCCAGAAGTTTTGGAGACTTCTCTTCTTAGCACTAGAACACTGATGGGCCTGGTGTGGGGCTGGGACCCCTTACTCCTCAGGGGGAATCCTCTGCAACCAAGATATCCCTCCCAATTTCTAACCACCACATGTGGGTGCAGGACCAGCTCGTTCTGAGACTCCATATCTCCTACCCGTCTCAAAGTGGCTTTTATGTGTATCCTTAGCTATAGGACTTCTGTTCAGCTACATTTCAGATGATTCTGAATGATGGTTGTTCTGTAGTTTAGTTGTAATTTTGATGTGGTTGTGAGAGGATGAGAGTACTGCATTTATGTATTCATAATCTTGACTGGAAGTCCCAAAAGCAATTACTTTTATTTTATTTTATTTCTAAATTTTAAAAAATTTATTGATTTTTAGAGAGAAATAGAAAGGGGGGAGGGAGAGAGAGATCCGTTGTTCCGCCTATCCGTGCATTCATTGATTGATTCTTGTATGTGCCCTGACCAGGGATTGAACCCACAACTTTGGCTCATCAGAATGACACTCCAACCAACTGAACTACCTGGCCAGGGCAGGCAATTATTTTTAAAGAAAGCTCGTATCGTATACTCAAACACATTGCATTTAACTATAACATCAGAGACCTAGTCACTTTGTAGAGTCAATATCATCATAGACAATAATAATAAAATGTAATTCATAATTAGAAAACACATCATAAAATTCCATTAAGGATGTCCTTAAAAATCCTTCTTCCAGTCATACACATTAAAAATCACTCCCAGAAAAAAAAGATACCAAGACAGAGACATCTAAAAACAGGATGAGGACTAGAAAGACAGTGAGGAAGTCTACACACTACCAGAAAAATTCTCAAAAGAGACAGATATCCAATACTCATAGATAGATATACATAAAAGGACAACAAAAATGTATGGGGAAATATATCTTAATAGAATAAAAGAAACAACACAGGGATAAATATTTACAGAATCTTCAGAGAAAAACATAGAGATCAGAGACCTGCACTCACATAGCAAAATTACCTCCTCAAAAAATTGTAATATTATAGTAGGATATTGCTTCTTTGAGCACACAGTGGATGTATTATCCACAGATTTATTCCACCAAACAGATGAAATTATTGCAGAAAGTTGATTATCGCTGAAGACCAAAAGTTAAATCCAAAATATGAATAATGTATCTTTTTTTGTTTTGGCAACAAAAAACTTTTCTTTTAATTGAGCATATTTTTAGTGTGTTTAACTAAAATATATTTAGAAAATATTAGATCATAAGATTTTTTTTTTTTTTATCCTCACCCGAGGACATTTTTCCATTTTTTGTTCAGATAGAGCAGGAGGAAAAGAGAGGAAGAGAGAGAGAGAGAAACATCGATGTGAAAGGGACACATCGAGTGGCTGCCACCCGCACAACCAACCAGGGCCGGGGACAAACTGCAACCAAGGTACACGCCCTTAGCGGGAACTGAACCAGGGTCTCTCTGGACCGCAGGCCGATGCTCCAACCACTGAGCCTAACCTGCCAAGGCAGATCATAAGATTTTTGAAAATGTGTTTTCACTCATTACTTTAAAGATAAAATGTAGCTTAGTGGGATTTAAAATAAAGCAGTTTTTCAAATATATTGGTTTAGGAAAAACTGTATTTTCTTAATCCAGAAAGATGGAAGTCTGTCATCTCTCAGCAGATAACATGCCCTAGGATTGGATTTAATTCAATACATAAAACCTAAAGCTAAAATCAAAAGGCTACACTTGACATTTTCCCCCCTGAAAACTAGAAATCAAATTAGACTTTTTTCTCTTCCATTTCTAACCCTTTCACACTTCTTCAGCAGATAAAACTCCCACTTCTTTTTCAAGAGAAGATTTGTGCATTATTATTTGGCAAAGAATGAAAATAAAAACTAATGTTATTTGAAATAAGCAGTATTAGGGTCATGAATGTACAAATACCGTGTGGTCAGACTGGGAGAGAGAATGACTGAGAGAAAGGAGAAAAAGAAGAAGAAACATTGTCACAGTGTGTCAACATGCCTTTATCAAGAACCCTTGTGACCCAACCTCCTCCTGCCTGCCTTTGTTTTCCATGGAGCTGTTGGGCACACCTTCCTGTAGAAACCTACCTGGAGATGAAGGGCCCGTAGGTTTTCTGGGAGTGGCAGAGGGATGTGGTCCAAGTTGTTATCTGTGAGGTAGAGGTGGTGGAGATCATACATATCCTGGAAACATTCCAAATGTAGGGACTTAATAAAAATTAGTGGTGCCACCGTTATACTTTCCATTCCCTGTCCATGCAATTATTTGTAAAATACCACATGCCTGACTAGGTATCTTTTAGTCAGGTTAAGGTAAATGAGTTTTCTAAGTTACTAGACAATTCAAATGAATTTCGGAAGCATTGAGGACAAGCAGATATATCTTGATGCAAATGAAATGTGTTTCTCAATCTCCAGGAAGAAACTTGCTTTGCCCACTTTCACTTTCTCAATTTAAGCAAGGAACTGACTTCTCATTCTCTATTCCGCAGTAGGATTTTGATTATTTCGGTGAGGCATAGCAAGAATTTCTTTTATGTTATAGGGATGGAGAGAAGAGAATTGGTCCCTAACAAAAGACTTCTCTTTCTAGTCTGAGTTTCAGGGAAAGACAGCCTAGCAAGACAGAAAAAGTTCAGACAACAACAGGTCCACTCTCGCCAAATACCACAGGACAAATTGTGACTCAACACCACCCAGGCCAACAAAAGATGAGTGGAGAGACTAGACTTCTACCCCCTTGCCTGGCTCTAACGAGGTGCCTCAGCTCTCTTGTACAACAGGGTGGCATCACAGGACGGCTGGTAGAGAGAGAGGACTTCCACCATTGCCCAGTGCTAATAGGGCCATAAAACACCTAGTCACCAAGGAAGCAATGTGATATCCCTTCAAACAGTATTTTTAATTTATTTTGTTCAACATATATGTAGAGGAGCAGCTTGAACAGAGTGCAAATGAGTAAGAAATCCCGTTGGTTGCTGTTCTCAGACTGGACACTGTCATTCCAAGCAAGTCACTCTAGCCCCGAGATTGCTTCCTTCACTTAGAAAACAAAACTCTTGGGATTAACCAAATCCACCCTTCTTATAAAGCAATTTAGAAGCCTCCTATCCCCAAGGCACCAACCACATCCTGTAAAAGTTGCTGGCCTTTTAACCACATTAAATGCTCTCCTTGAGCATAGTTTTTGGTAAATACAAATTATCTGCCTAACACTATTTCCAGATAGCCTCCCACTTCTCATTCCATTTCTGCTTTCTGTTCTTGGCGCTTGACCAACCTCAGAATGTAGCAGAGCACAGTGTTTCCCAAAAGCATGATAAGTGGCATTGTAAAGTTTACTTTAGGAGTTTGAAATCTCATCAAAGTGAATTCCTTTATAGAAATAAAAAGGCTAGTCATTGACCGCAAATGGAATGGGAAGAGGAAAGTCTTTGATATCCAAGCTTGAAACTCACTTTAAATGCTTCTTGCTTTATGCCTTTCCTTCCGAGTCTGTTGTTGCTGATGTCAATGAAAGTCAAAGTGGCCGGCAACTCTGGGAGCTGCCTTATTTTGTTGTCACGTAGGACAAGCTCTCGGAGCTGGGGCAGCTTTCTGAATGCATCTTCATCAATCTCAGATATTACATTTGATGTCAGATCAATCTTCCTTAAATCATCTAGAAGGAAAAGTGGAGGAAGTAGTTAAACATTCTTGAAATGTTTTGTTCACATCAAAATACGAATATAAATGTCCTGCATGCAAGCAAAAAGAACCATGAATTTGATTAGCAGTGACCAGTTAATTAAATAATTATTTCTAACTACGTTAGAAAAATGTGTTTCCTCCAAATACTATCCGTATTTATGCAATTATAAGAAAGCACAACTTTAGCAAAGAAACTGGCACATTATATTTAAAATAACTAGTCTTTTCCTGATAGTCTAAATAAACTGTATCTGGATTTTACTATTTAACACGTTTTCCTCAAGGTTGAGAGATTGTTGTATTTTCTTGTAGTCAAAGATACATTAATATATAAAATAAAAAGGCATTAAAAATTTTAGTGATTAAAACACTTTATGTAGACAAGTACAAAAATTCTTCTATGTTGTCAACAATTATAATGTCAGAATTTAGGCTTGCAGTCTTCGATCGTACAGCGATTGTGCTTTAATGTAAGTCTCTTCAAACAAAAAAAAAATCTTCATAAATATATGACCATGACATTTTACTCTTAATGTCATAACATGATAATAAGTTGTAGCCTATAAAATTCAGTTATTCATGATTTTTATTTAGTCGAAAATAGTTTATTTAAAAATATCAACAACTGTATAGTTTCATGATGACCTTTACTTATTCATCTCTTTTCTTATCACAATTAAAACAAATATTTAAATGGTTAAATAAGAAAAAATAATCGATTTATGAGCCATATTTGTATTCAGCTATCATTTTCAACCCAACCTTTTTACAGTGCAAAAAATTTAAGAAAGTCTGTAAAGAAGAGGCGGCCACTAGTGCCATCATACGTACCGAGGCTTGCAAAGTCATTTCTGTTGATCTTTTTAATTCTGTTAAAGCGGGAATAGAAATAAGCAGTGTTCGGGGGCAGTGGAGGAATAGCATCAAGCTCATGGTCATCGCAGTATACAGTGGTACTTATACAGGTACACAGAAGGCAGGTTGGAAAATCTAGAAGATAGAGGCAAATAATTATAGTTAAGTAACAAAAACAATTTCTAGCAGTGTGATTAGCAATATTTGTTAAACAAGAATAGAGTGTCATGCAGACAATTCTGGTATATTTCATATTTTTTATATAGTTTTCTGTAAATGGGATGCTAGTCAAAGGCACCAATTAGGGCTGACCCAATAATGAGCATATTATTTTGTAATGTTTTAAAATTTTGTTTTAAATTACTGAGTGGACACTGCACAGTTGTCGCTTTTATACTTAGAAATTCTATCTTCAAATGCAAACATCAATATTTGGGGCTTTTTAAAAATCAGTTTAAAGCATCACATGCAATGCTTTTATTAGGCCTTTGGTTCAATAATTAAACACCCCACTGAAACTAAATATGTTTCAAGAAAATAGAGGTTAGTAATCCCTAGTATGTATTTCTTAATCTTTTCTCTGTAAATGGTGCTGTGCTAGCTGATGAAACAGTGGTGAGCATGGACAGAGCTGGATTTTATGATCTGCTATGTATGATGACTTAATCACACAAATAAATGAAATGATGACTATGGTAAATTATAAAATATCATAAGAGTACAAAATAGAAACATTTGATCCCATTTGAGAATCGTGGCCTCTGAGAAGGTGATTGACTGAGTAGAGATCTACAACAAGAGGAGGAGCTGATTGTGCTGGTGCGAGGGAAGCACACGCAGACAGAGGAGGCAGCATGTGGCCAGTTCCTTCACGTTGGAGGGACTGCAAGGTGGTCCATGTCGCTATAGCGTAGAGAGCACTGGAATGTGTAGGACATAACATCGATGGCCTGATAGGGTGTGTGATAGATTGTGTTCCTCATCCGAATTATCATCAGATTTGCATGTTAAGATGTCACACTGCTTAAAGGTGTGGTGGCAGTCTGAGGGAAGGCCAGTGGGCGAGTGGAGATGAGTTCTTGTCTATATAAAACATCATGGGCACTTGGATAATTGTGGTAGAAAAGGAAACAGATCCCAAAGGTATTGGACACACACATACACACCCACCTTTCCCTCCTTCATTCCCTACCCAATGATCATGCAGAGGTCGGTAAGCTTCTAAAGGAGACAGAAGCCATGACCCGAAGGAAAAGGATAGGGTAACATTATGGAGGCCAAGTGGAGAAAAAGGATGAAAGAAAAAGAAATAGAAAACAATCAAGGCTCCTGCGATGTCAGGCAAATTAAAATGTCTTGGGTTAGTTATTGTGGTGGTGATAGGAGACATCAATGAGAGCTGTGGAGTGGCGAGGCTGAAAGCCAGATTGCAGTCAATTAAGGAGAATGTTGGAGGTGAGGAAACAATGACAGCAAATATAGACAATGTTATTGAGATACTGGACTGTGGAAAAGGAGGACAGAGAGATGGTGGAAACTATGAAAAGATCATTTGTGTTGTGTATAATGAGGCATGTTGACTAAAGTAGGAGGTTTGCAGAGGAGGAGAGGTTGATGATAAAAAGGATCCTCAGAGAGCAGCAGGACATGAAGTTCCAAACCCGGTGGGGAGAAGGCACAGCCCACGTGCGGGAGGGCGGACAACTCCTCTGCTGCAATAGGAGGTAAATGACATGTCTGAAAACAGAAAGACCAAAGAGCTGGTGACTGGAAGGCTGTATTTTCTTTGTGAAGTAGGAGGCTAAGGGTTCTGAAGAGTGTCAGGAATACAGGGAGGAGGAGAGGAAGGGTTGAGAGAGAAGAGATGAATGGAGAAAGTGAAATAAGTAAACCATGAGAATTCCAGAAGAAAGCGATGGAAGAACTTCCTTGGGATTGCTCATGACCAATCCATCCGGACTTAGCTGAAACTTTCCTGACTTTAGCACTGAAAATCCCCTTTCTTGGGAAACCCCCCACTCCAGGCAAACAGGGACATGCTGTTGCCTTAGTTCAGAGATCAAGAACTACTGATGCAACTAAGATAGAACAGATAATCAGTCATGCTCCATAGTTCTAGCACAAATATACTCCCTACTAAGGCTTTTTTGAATTTTTGTTCAAGCAATGAAAAGTCCCTCATATTCTTCATGTCTTTAGCATATCAGCAGGGGGTTACAGAGAAACACCTTAGCTGTTTAATCTCAACACAGTCAACAAAAGGAAAGAAACTATACCATAAATTATGTGACTGTCTCGACTCTTTTTATACCTCTTGCATATGTTGTGTTTTTTTGTAAATGTATCTTTATTGTTGAAAGTATTACAGTTGTCCTTCCTTGTTTTCCCCCATCGATACCTCCCTCCCCACTCCCCTCCCTCACCTCCAGCATGAACACTGACTATCCCAACTCTTGACTGGTCTCCCTCTTGTTGCCTCTGAGTCTGAATTCCCCAAACAACAGATTTCTAGGGAGCACTGGATTGAAGGAGAGTCGGGACAGCCTCACTCAAAGACCTTACATACTTGACTGATAACTCAGCAGTGAGCTGTTATATGCATTTTGGGAAACTTCCATAATTTTCAACTTACAAACTTTTAAAGACCTTTTTGCATTTTACATGTGTGTGACTTGAGTGGTCACACACTCAAGTTATCAATGTTTTTATAAATATTTACTGTATTTTTTCTATTTAGCTCAATTCGAACAATGTACTTTAATAAAACATTCTAAGCATTGTAACTCCCCCGCTAAAAAAAGAATTAGTAAGGCACCAAGGTCTTATTGTTACCAATAAATAGGAAAATAATTTATAATAACAACTTCAAAAATAAAATCTATTTTAAGAATGGAAAAGCTAGAGAAAAAATTTCACAGAGAGCTGTAAAATATTTAATGCTTACTGATTTCTTTAATCAGTATGAATTAATATTTTCCTTTTATCATAATTGTTAAAATATATCATTTTATTCTTCTATGTATTTATGACTATATTATTTAAGCAATAATTTCTTAAAGTAATTATATATTCACACCAGTTATTAATTTAATTCTAGTTTTTCCATTCATAGCTGAAGCCTACTTTATATGACTTCAGGATATTATTTTTAGAAATTGGTATTAATAGTTAAAAATATGATATTTTGATTTTTGGTGGTATAAATTTTTCTAAACTATTTAACTGATAATTTATAAGATTTAAATTTAATTTTAAAATTTAGAATTTCTGGTGATGCTATCTCTGTTCAAATTAAAATGTTAACTTTATTACACTCAGACTACTTTAGAGACATTTTTTTTTAAGTCATTGATTTTTAAATATTGTCTCAAAACTGACATTATGGATTCATAATTTTTACTAAAAGTTGGCCATTATGCTTTTCTGCTGTTGCTGAAATACTGAACTATAAGTAATGGTGGCAGATCCACCAACTTCTGAAGAATCTTGAAATAACTTTAAAGTAAGTCATATTCCAGGGATAGTTGATTTCCCTATTTTGAGAGCTTTCTGCTGGGTACTCACTCTTCCTTGTCATTGTGCGTGTGTTCATTTCCCTGGGTCTGTTTGTATTCTATTGCTCCATAGAAAGTGAACTATGTGAAAAAAATTGACGACGTGTTTCTTACAGAGTTTGGCTTTCGTGTCTGTTTGTATCCCAGCACCAGGGTGAACCACCTTCGTGACCTTGGACAACTTTTACCGTATGCTAGAATGTTAGTTTTCCCATTCATCAAGCAGAAATAACAATACCTGGTGCGTATCGTCATTGTGGTTCTTAAAAGAGTCAACGTACATAAAACACTTCAGTGGCTGACATCTAGGTAGTATGCCACAGAAGACGGCTTTTTACATGACTTATTGGTGAACAGTCAAAAACTCATAGAATCAGAGAGTAGATATGTTGTTACCAGGGGCTTGGAGAAGGAGGATGGACATCTGTTGTTCAACAGGCATAAAGTTTCAGTTTTGCAAAATGAATAAGTTCTAGAGATCTACTGTACAACACAATGCCTGTGGTTAATGACACTTTATTGTATCGTAAAAAAAAACATGTTGAGTGAACCAAAAATAAACTCTTCTATCAAAAATAGGAAAATGAGAATAACTAACATTTGTTATGTTTACTATGGGCCAGGCACCAAATTCATTCATGTAATCCTTATAAAAACTCTAAGGGGAAAGATTATTTATTATCCCACTTTTTAGATAAGAAAACTGAGGCAAAAAGCAACAGAAACCCTGCATGCCTTGCTCAAGAACGCCGAGAATCCCGCAGGTCTCAAAGCCGATTTGAACGCTCGCTGCTCTCTGTTCTGGCCCAGTATATTCTTACAGACTTTTCTCACATCACCTGTAACACTCGCCTGAGAGCCTCTAAATTTGTTTCCATGTCTGTTTCCCTGTTCTAGACAGATGTTTGTGAGAAAGTAGTCATTTTAAGATGGGTTTTGTAAACCTGCGAAGTGGAAATTCTACTCCTTTTTCTACACTCCTCCCCCTAAGCCATTCTCCCTGTGCGTGTGTGCGAGTGTGTGTTCGAAGTATTTCGGTGTGAGTCCACTTGAATAACCCCAAGGATGCCACTGATGCATTCTAACAAGAGACCTAGACAAATTATAGAAATATTAGTAGGAAATTAGACCTGGGAGGCTGGGGTGGGGCCTGCCCTGGGGTCCTGAGAGGGGCCCCGACCAACATTGCCTTCAGACCACGGCCCTAGGGGTGACCCTGAGGTCAGCAGCTCCTGAAGCTGACCGCCTGTGGGCAGGTTGGGGACTAGCTGGTTTTCTGCACCAGCGAAGGAAAATGACATGACCTCATTTCAACCTTACTAGGGCACAGACTAATTCTATGAAAATTTGCATTGCAGTTTTGACTCCTTCCCTCATCGTGGGATTTTCTGTATGCATTATGGGGAATGACAAGCGCAGAAGAAATATAGTTGTTCAACCCTTTTCTGTCAATCATCCCTGGATGCAAATGAAAGTCTCCACCCAGAAAATCAGAAATCCCTCATTTAAATCAAGTAACCCAGGGAGTTCAGGGTCATTGTCACTCTTTTACTTTCCTTTTTTTTTTTTTTTTTAAACTTTTTTTTCCTTATTGATTTTAGAGAGAGAGGAAGGGAGAAGGAGAAGAGATAGAAACATCGATGAGAGAGAGCATGGATTGGACGCCTCTTGCATGCTCCGCACTGGGGATCGGGCCCACAACCTGGGCATGTGCCCTGACAGGGAATTGAACTGGTGACTTCTTGGTGCCTGGGTCGACGCTGCCACTGAACCACACTGGCCAGGCCCATTGTCACTCTCGACTGGCCATGTCCTCACTTGGAGTGTATTTTCAATAAATCCCACTTTGCTTTACTTTTGTTTTCATTGGCCTTAAATACTTTGCTGTGTGGACCGGAAGAACAGAGGTCCCAGCTGGTAAACCCACACGGTAACAGAATCACATTTAGCACCAGGAATTCCTTCTCGTGAACACAAATGCCCTGGTTTAGATCACCTTTCAGCCATGCAAGATGAAATTCAATGGAATGGACCACTTTCCCGTCTTTTCCTTTCTGTGCTACTTAGTAGGACTGAGTGAGAAAAAGTCTACTTTCCAACAACTACACAGATAAGAATCAGAACAGGCTCACTTCAAACCCAGCATGTAAAACTGAGGGCTCTGTGACCTCTGACAAGTCCCTACCCTTTTGGAGCTAGTTACCTCAATAATAATGGAAAGATTAATGCTAACCCCTTCACAGGGCGTTTATAATACTCAAATGAGATCATGTAAAGTGCTGAGCATTATGGCCCACAGGTATGTGCTCAGTAAATATTATTGCTAGTATCATTATTATCACTCATCATCAGTAACCTTATCACTTGGAACTGCTGTGGCCTAATCTCTCAGACACAGATTCTATTCTTGCAAATAGTGTATTCTTTGTTCAAGAAATGCATTCCATCCATCACAATAGTTTTGAGTAATGATGTCAGACAAATATTTTCACTCCAAATCTTTGGTTATTTGAAAATTTGCATCATGCCCGAGCTAAATTATTAAAACTTGATATTTGAATACAAAATACATGTGTATCACCTGCATCACACCTAGCCTATTGCAAAACTTTCTCCTTGGGTCATGTGGGTTCCTTGGGGACTTGGAGCTTTGGCAGTCTAGAAGGATGACCAAATGGACTTAATTGCAATTCAACATTGATGGACCTGACCTTCATTGGTGTGTGGACCCAGAACCCTGGTGAATTCAGGCTCCTGTGGAGAAGAACCATCAATCAACCTGGGTGTGGACTCTTCCTCCTCTTCCTCTTCAGCCTCCTCGGGCTGTGGGGGTGGGGTGAGGAGCTCTCTGTTGCCTGAAGGCATCATTGTGGCTATTTCAATCTGAAAGAGAAGCAGAAATTGATCAGGCAAAGTCAATCATTCCGGGGCAGTGAAACAAATTTCACATGTATCCAGGTTTGCCACAAGAGGGCACTCATGGTCTGAAGTTCAACACTGATTGGCCTGCTTGTGGGACACCTGGTTCCATTTACTACTATTGTTTTAAATTAGTTTTGCTTCTCAAATCTTAGTAAGTAGTTTCCAATGCCTTTTGGGGGGAGATTTTCTTACACTTTTAAACATTTTTTTAAATTTATTTTTGTTACAGATATTTCTCCTCCACCCCTCCCAGGCACCCTCCTCTCAATTCTCCCCCTCCCCCAAGCATTGTTGTTTATGTCCATTGGTTCCGCATACGTGCATATAAATTCTTTGGTTTATCTGATCCCTTCCCCCCAGCCCCTCTTTATATGTTTGTTCATTCCATAAGTTTTTTTAAAAACCTCATTTATTGTTTTCTAAATACACAGTATTGCAAGAATGCATAATTGTGCCAGATTCAGATGAACCCAGAAGTGTGCAGAGTTGCCTTCACCCTGACACCCTAATTCCACTCCCCCGGAAGATAATAGCCAGTTAAAATGTGCCATGTACATTTTAGTCCTTTTAATCCTTGGTCCTCTGGATTCAAATATTCTGTTCCTTTACAACAACACACACTTCTTCAACTAAGTTTTACTGAAAAGTATTATTTCTACTAAAATACAATATGTGCAGACTATAGGATTTGATGATGAAATACCATTTCTCATATATTTTCAATATTATTTTGAATAACAAGTGTTATGAACAATGGTTGGGAAATGTTCAAATCCACCTTTCTGAGAGTTTTGACAATAGGAGGCATTTATGAAATTGGGAAAATACTCATAATTTTTTAGGGACTGTGTTTTAGATTACACTTGCTTTTCTCTTCTTACGTGCATTTTTTAAGTAATGTTATTTTGTCTAAGACCACTGTTTGCATTTAGAATAAACCCTTATTCTCAACTCCCTTCTCTGGTCTCAATGTCTTCTTTGTATCAATAAATGTCTACTTCCCTGATGACCTTGTGACCTAGGGCAGGAAATTTGTTCAAAATAATTGGTTGGTAACTTGCCAGACTCACCCACTATGATCTAGTTTCCTCATGATATCCCCAGAAATCCCAGATTTCCTCTTTACCGGACTAATATGAACCCCTGAGCTTCCCATCCTTCTTTATTCACTTTTATTCAACAAGCAAAAAAAAAAGAGAGAAAAAAAACCCAAGCAAACAAAAAACACTACCAATTACTTTCTAACTTATTTAATGTTAAAATAATATGCTAGCTATGACTTTCATTAGTAAAATATGCCCATAATTAGGCCAGATTTTGTTTGATATTTTAGATAACTGTTTTAGATATCAATAACATTTTAAAGGTACACTTATTTAGTGTCACTTACAATAAAATTTAATCCATTGCTTCACAAGTGAAGATTACCTAAACGCTCTTTTGTCAGTAGGCATTTCTGACCTGTGTCTAACCTCTGGGCTGCTGCAGTCTCCTTCTTTCAGCCCTTCCTACACTGTGCTATAGCGGTTCCTACACTGTGTTAGAGTGGTTCCTACACTGTGTTAGAGTGGTTCCTACACTGTGTTATAGTGGTTCTTACAGTGTGTTATAGTGGTTCCTACAGTGTGTTGTAGTGGTTCCTACAGTGTGTTATAGTGGTTCCTACAGCGTGTTATAGTGGTTCCTACAGCGTGTTATAGTGGTTCCTACAGAGTGTTATAGTGGTTTCTACACTGTTATAGTGGTTCCTATAGTGTATTATAGTGGTTCTTACAGTGTGTTATAGTGGTTCCTACAGTGTGTTGTAGTGGTTTCTACAGCGTGTTATAGTGATTCCTACAGTGTGTTATAGTGATTCCTATACTGTTATAGTGGTTCCTACAGTGTGTTATAGTGGTTCCTACAGCATGTTATAGTGGTTCCTACACAGTTATAGTGCTTCCTACACTGTTATAGTGGTTCCTACAGTATATTATAGTGGTTCCTACAGTGTGTTATAGTGATTCCTATACTGTTATAGTGGTTCCTACAGTGTGTTATAGTGGTTCCTACAGCATGTTATAGTGGTTCCTACACTGTTATAGTGGTTCCTACAGTGTGTTATAGTGATTCCTACAGTGTGTTATAGTGATTCCTATACTGTTATAGTGGTTCCTACAGTGTGTTATAGTGGTTCCTACAGCATGTTATAGTGGTTCCTACACAGTTATAGTGCTTCCTACACTGTTATAGTGGTTCCTACAGTATGTTATAGTGGTTCCTACAGTGTGTTATAGTGATTCCTACAGCATGTTATAGTGGTTCCTACAGTGTGTTATAGTGGTTTCTACACTGTTATAGTGGTTCCTACAGTATGTTATAGTGGTTCCTACAGTGTGTTATAGTGATTCCTACAGCATGTTATAGTGGTTCCTACACTGTTATAGTGGTTCCTACAGTGTGTTATAGTGGTTTTTACAGTGTGTTATAGTGATTCCTACAGCATGTTATAGTGGTTTCTACACTGTTATAGTGGTTCCTACAGTGTGTTATAGTGATTCCTAAACTGTTATAGTGGTTCCTACAGTGGGTTATAGTGGTTCCTAGACTGTGTTATAGTGGTTCCTACAGCATGTTATAGTGGTTCCTACACTGTTATAGTGGTTCCTACACTGTTATAGTGGTTCCTACACTGTTATAGTGTGGTTCCATCCATTCTCTGCTTCCTCAAACCTACTAGGTGGTACAGTGTCAGTTACATTGTATATCTTTATACTTCCAGGCTCTAGCATAATATACAATCAACAAGTACTTTTTGAATACCATGCAAAATGTTTGCTTGTCCAAAATATATCTAATCCATAGCCCTATGCCTGATTTGAGAGATTTTGCTGAGAAAAATCAATGAATATATTAATGCTTACTTGAGTGCATTTAGAGCATAAAATCAAACCCAAAGCAAACCCTACTGTATTTGATGCATTACTAAGCCATACGTGAAGCTATCACGGCCAAAATTCTCCACTTGAGAAGATTGGGCACACCTCTTTAAGCCGAGAGACATACGGGCTCCATCTGCAGCGTCAGAATGAGTCAGATCCAGAAGAAATGGATACGCAGAGAGACCAAAAGGAGGCTCCAGGAAGAGCGGAAATTGAGACAGATGTTTCATGGAATGGAGGCAGCCTAAAGGGAGAAACACATTCCAGACACGTTGCCTTGACTCTTTGGCTTTATAGGAAAAATGTTTGCACATATTTTTTACAGATAATTGTTTTTCCACTGATTTGATGTGAAGCTGTAAGATTTCACTTGTCATCCACCGTAATGAGGCGAAACAGCTTTTGTGTTGATCAGAAATTGTTTTGTTCGTGCTTACTTGCTATTGAAATGGGAATGGTGAGCGATTATTTTAAGACCAAGGAAAAGGAATGTCTTTTTGGTTCAGCAAATAGCAGAACTGTAACTTCAAAGTACTGTGCCTGGAGAGACTTTTGGGGACACATTAGTTGTCACTACGGAATCGAAGTGATCCCAGCTTTCTGTCTTCTTTCCCTCTGCCCAGTTTTCACAATGTGATATGGAACTGTGAGGCAAAGCATGCAAGGAAATGAGGCCAGGGAGACAGGACCACCTGCCCTTCCCTGTGGCAGACTTTTATGCTTATGCAGCAGAAACTTACATTTGGGAATAGACACAAATGGCCAGAGAGTCGTCCCTGCCCCTTCTTCTCAAGCTGCAATCAATAACATGCAAACGCAACATATGTAACTGAGCCTCTGATACAAATTTCCAATTCGTTTAGGTTTTCTCCGTTCTTCTTTACACCTCCTCTTTGACTCTGACTTGCTTCCCAAGGAACTGACTTTTTAATTGGCTCATTATGTTTCCTTGAAGTTTAAAAACACAATATAAAGGGTCAGTCCTCCAGGTGACCTTGCGCTTAGTCATTACTGTACTTGCCTGTCTTCTTGGCCTCCGATCAGCAGGGTGCATGCTTGTGGTGCTTGTGGTTGGCAGTAAGTTGTGTATTTCTATTGTCTTGTTCACCTGGCCTTAGATCGTTTATGTCCAGATAGACTGTGCTCAGCCATGTACTTCATGTCCATGAAAGAGTCTACTGACGCCAGAGATAAAAACTGCTTCGTCCACAGGGAGTGACAGGGTAGAGTGAGCTCTAACCTCCCCAGGAAGGTCCATGTCAGTCTGGAGAGAGAGCAGTGCCAGGAAGAGTCTTCGGGCCTGCCTCAGTCTCCTGACCATGCACAGCCTTGACCCTCCGTAAACAAGCAGTGCCTCAGGATTTCTTAGGGTAAAGGGGACTGAAATGACCTTGAAGTGTCTCAAAATCCTTCTCCCTGAGAAATAAGGACTCTCAGTAGAAAATAATTGTCACATTTCTTTCTCCTTTTTTTTTTTAAATCCTCACCAGAGGATATTTTTCCATTTATTTTCAGATAGAGTGGGAGGGAGGGGGAGAGAGAGAGAAAAATAAACACTGATGTGAGAGAGACACATCAATTGGTTGCCTCCCACATGACCCTGATCAGGGACAGGGACCCAACTGAAACCCTGGAATGTGCCCTTGTCTGGAATCGAACCCACAACTTTTTGATCCTCAGGCCCATGCTCTGACCACTGAGCAAAACCAGCCATGGTGACAATTGTCACATTTCATATACCAGATTATGTGTACTCACATTTTCCCCAGTGATATTTACATTGTTATTAGTAATACTGCAAACAAGTGAAGACTTCCATTCGCCCATAATCTGTAGAGTTGTCCATAGAAGAATCTTCCTGTCCAAGTACTCAGACCCATTTTAAGTGACAAAAATATTTGGTTAAAAATAATTTTTACCAAATCCATTTGTCCCTTAGCAAAAAAACACATCTAAATGATTTGTATCACCACCCTGCTACCATTACATCTACTTAATTTATTTCAGAGTAAAAATATGAAAAAATAGTGTGTTCAGGAA